CACCAGAATCTCGTACTTTCATTTCCTCCATCGAAGCGTAAACGCATGACTGGTCGCGTGCATGTGCGCGGTAATTCCCGGAGTCGACGCAGTGCCATAGGAAAGCACCGATTGGACCCGGGAATAGCCCCCCCCCCTCCGCCCCCACCCCCTCCCCCCTGCCACTCGGTTCGCTACGCACCCCCGAAAGCGCCATTGCGCTCGTGTCATCGCTCTGCCATTCGAATCACGACGCATCGCGAAAGGGAAATGCTGGTGGCCTCGTGGCGAAAGAGCTTGTGATTCCGCTGAGTAAACGGAATGAAAAATGCACGAGTGAAAACCCGAGGCTGTAGAATTCGTTCGATTTCAAAACGCTCGGTATTGCCAAGGAAAAGTCACGATTTTGCCGCTCTTACTTTTGTTTTCAATTGTCACGCATCTGCCGCTATTCTTACGGCCTCTTAATCTTAATTGTCTCTTTTATTAAACGATTATAATTTCTAGATATTAAATTTTATATTTGTTGCAATGATGTTTATCAATGAAATTATTGAGAGGATTTAGAAATAAAGCACCTACTATTATTACATTAACGTTCATGGCTTTTAACTGCTCTTCGCAATAATTGAAATATATATCATCTTGTTTGTTAGACAAACGTGCTTGGGCAATATATTTATAATAACAACAAAGATACTGCATTAAAGATTTATGAACAATAATAAAAATTTACATCACCGTGGTTGTAATAGAGTAAATATGTAATGTTATTGCCTACAATTATCATAATGTCTCGTACGTGTATCTACTTTTAAGCGACAAAGTGTAAAGAATGTAGTTGCAACAAGTGTATTATAATATTATATAATATTTTAATCGGGATAAGGAGGGTTATTGCTTTTTGTTGCAAAAAAAAAAAAAAAAAAAAAAAAAAACTGTCGTTCGTTTATCCTATCGTAATAAAAGTCTCTTTATTTCGTATTATTTTCAGAATATAAAAACCATTCGTGAATGACTTCACATTTTTCTCTCCTTTTATGTCTCATGTACATCGTATAAAATTCTTTAAAGCAATTAGTCTATTATGAGTAAATATGTTGACAATCTGGATGTTCATAGTATCCCATTAAAATTATTCATCGCCCAAAGATCTTTCATAAGATTTTAATTATAAATACAACTGAATACCCACCGATTATATTTTTTAATGTTTATCGTGTGATTATTGATTGTACGTTGCTGCCAATATACAAATAGTCCTATGTCAACTTGTATCTAATGATTCGTCGATATAACATTAGCACAGGCGTCGACGCATCACTCAATGAATTTAATAAAATTCACCCGTATCTAGACAATTTCAAGAGCAATAGCTTAAGGAAAAGACATGTTCGCATGTCGGTCTAAGTACTTTCACCGACCCTGGTGAACCTATCGTTGTCCTGGCGAATCGTAGCAAAATAGTGTCCAGTCCCAAAGGCGTAATCGCACGTTATAAGTGAGATGAGGAATAGAGCGACGATGACATTCACTTTCCGCTATATTTAATTAAGAATTCGGTCGCGACAGCGTCTCGCGATAAAAAAAATTCGGAAAAGTTGATGAAAACCTCGTAGAAGGAGGAGGGAGCAGCGACGATCGCTACGTAAGAGGCGGCGGATCTTTTAAGTTTCTTCTCCTTTTCTTTTCCCGCGGAAGCCGAACTTGCTGCTCCGTTAACCTACATTCGGACCGTGAACGAGTGAGCAAAGGGAGCAGGCTAAAAGTGTCAGGGTCGAATGTCCCTCGCGTTGACGCACCTCTTTCTCGACATATTCGCTTAAGCGTTTCTCGCGACGCGAGTTTGACATGCCTTCGGTCCACGAGATGGGCCCGTCGATCGTCGCCACGTCATTCATCCCGTACATCGTCCTTTGTCTAACGCGGTAAATTGCTGGCAGGTTGTGACGAAAGTTAACGAGCGCACGTTTCGCGATCCTGTCGAAGAAAAGCCAAAAGGGCCGAGAATTATGTTACGAATGATCGTCGCTCGGCAATCGATACTATTAGCGTTTGTCGATAAATACGAATGTTGCTATTAGCCGCGCACACGATAAATGCAAATGAAATTGTATTAACCATAAAGCACGTTGATACGTAATTACGATAATTGTGAGCGAGGGAGAGTAGCGGAAATCATTAGCACGCTGGCTGAAAAGAGTGTCAATGTGTGCGTTTAAACATTTGCCCTTTCACCGACGCTGTAAAGAGTAAACCTCTTAATATTCGAGAGAGTTTTAAATAAATTTGACAGGCTTGTGGAAAGTTGACCGTGGATCGTATAATGACCGACTTTTATATTTTTCGGCGGTCTTTCTTTAAAATCCGATGCTACTTTTTATTAAAAAGAATATTAATTGTCAAAATATTGGCTAATACCCAACGATTATCTTCCAATCTTTTGGTGAATGGTAGAGTTATGAATATCTGCGCTCATTATTTAGATTTAATTGGCATTTGCTATTATCATAATTGTTACGTTCGCGTATGGTTGAGGTTTATATTACATATTACATTACTGCTTTTGTCGTAACGTTCATTGATAATTGTAAGTTTTGCTGGCAATAAGAATTTTAATATTATTCTAGCATTCAGTTGGCGCTCAATGATCATTATGATCAATTCCGATATTACAAATAACGATTTAATAATTAAAGACCATGGGACTTTAATTCGCCATCAAGAACGTGACGGATTAGGTTAGACATTTTCTTGCGGCATATTTTTTTTTTTTTTTTTTTTTTTTTTTTTTTTTTTTGCAACTTCCTCGATTAATCCCAATTACCTACGGGAATAACGTATTATCGCGGAAGGCTTTCAAAGAGTTTGCGAATAGCGTGTTGAAATAGCATGAAAGCCGTGTATGCCGTAAATCAGCAATCGAGAGCAATATCTCCCTTTTTCCAAGCATCGAAACAGATCTTTTGCATTACTTGAATGTAATTTTTAATTCATACTTTATAGAAGGATTTTTGCTATTTACCATTACACAACCACGACATGCCATTGAGCGCATGCAATGTCACGATATTCGCTCTAAAATTTTCAGCCCTCCAGGTTAGCGCCTGGACTTTGCCTGCAATTATTGTTATAACTAGCGATGACGGGCCAGAATGACGTTAGCCAAGTACTTTGGCTGACTTTAGCCTTGCTTTAATCAAGGAGACAAAGTCTGGAGCTCGCGTCGCAACCGGAGCACTTACCGGATGAGGAGTCCCTCGTGGGCCTCGAGGGCCGCGGTCCGAGCGGATGATGTCCCGGATACGGTGGCGGGGTCGCGGCGCTGTCGGAACCGATGCCGCTGCTGGCTGCGCTGCGGGCACCTCCACGCTCGGCGACCGGGGTGATATTGGGGAGGCCAACCCCGTTCGTCCCGACGATGGTCTGGTTAAGGCAGCGCCGCAACTCGATTCCAGTGAGATTGCCACGCTGACGGTGCACCGTGTCGTAGTCCCGGGGAGGGAGGAGGATCGGGCCCGTGTCGTTGTCCGCTGAGTTGCCTCTACCTGCGACGGACAGACCATGTCATTCATGGAGATATTCGCTTCGTAAATCTCGAACATCGAGAGATCCGATGGAAAGGGCTATTATAGAGGCCGGCAGTCATACTCGAATGCTTATGGGAAGTCGAGCCTTCCGCCTAACCATAATACGACTCGTACTCTTAACGTAGAGGTATTGATTATCTTGAGAAAGAATACGAATTTAGAGGAAAGCCTTAATCGATCTATCATTGCATGATACTAGAACATTATGTCTTATGAAATACGTCATGCGTTTGCGTATTCGTTCGTTTGTTCGTTCGTTCGTTCGTTCGTTCGTTCGTTCGTTCGTTCGTTCGTTCGTTCGTTCGTTCGTTCGTTCGTTCGTTCGTTCGTTCGTTCGTTCGTTCGTTCGTTCGTTCGTTCGTTCATTCATTCGTTCATTCATTCGTTCATTCATTCGTTCGTTCATTCGTTCGTTCATTGTAGTGTTTGTTTGATATCACATGCATCGCGTATTATTGCCGATAATTCATTCGCAATCTTTCTTCTAAATTCAAAATTCATTTTTACTCCTCATTCAACTAAATGATTCGTTACACTAGTATGTCATTTCATTTATGTTTCATCATCATTTTCTTAGCATGAGTGTGCAACATTTTTAAAAATTTCACACTTCAAAAAGTATTTGATCGTATAATGAATGGCCTTTATTATAAGCCATCTCCCTCTCCCATCCCCACTCGCTCACTCTCTCTCTCTCTCTCTCTCTCTCTCTCTCTCTCTCTCTCTCTCTCCCTCATGACCAATGCTGTATAAATCTCGCAATCTTTGTTTGAAACGCTTGCGTTCCACTCATTGTTTGTATAAATCCAATGTTATCGGATCTTTGTTTTTCAGACTACGGTAATATTCATAGACGCACATTGCTTGGCATTGTATTTGTACGACTGGAAGGTAAACTTATAATGGGCCACGGAAGGACTTTACTCATACAGCGACATAGAATACAAAAAACAAAAACTGATTAGGGCAACATCAAATTTTTAACTTTCATCTTTCCAATTGAATATTATAAAACTAATCCATTGCGTATTTATCAGCCTTTTGTCGCGATTCATACATTTGCTCGAACGTGGTAAAAAAACTATTTTCAAGCGAGCGAGATTTTGATAGAATCAAGGATAAGCATTTTCAACGTCAAACGAAATGATTTTTTACATTTACTACCTCAAATACCATATAATTTGTCCCATAGTGTTCGATGTGCTAGACAAATGTTAATTTGTTAACCTTAATATGAATTAATTAATTCGATAAATTCATTGTTTACAATGCACAAATTCAACCATGTGACAAGTTCACGATGATTAAATAAGAAATTCCACATGATGTATCATCATCGGATCCATTCATCTCGCCTATCTATTGTCCATAAATGATATTAAAAAAAAAAAACAATGTAATACACTGTAATAATATTACATGGATAATAACGTTAAGATGAAGAAAAAATACGGTGCATTGAGACGTGGAGCATAGCCATGACTATAATCATGAAGTTCAAGATGAAGAAAAATGATTTCTAATCTTCAACATAAAGAGACAGCCACATAATACATAATAAACACCAGCTGGCAAAAGAAATCCTACATAACCAGTAACAAGTCGATGATCTAGAATCACATTTACAAAATGTAGTACGAACACAATAGTGCCTTTATGCTATAATACGCCATTAAGTAAAGCAAACGATTAATGCTTATAACAATAAGGAATTTATTAGCAGTGTAAAAGGCACATAAAAAGGTGTACACGTACAATTTGCGTTTTATAGAGTTCGCTCGCACAATGAAGCAACGAGTGTCTCCCCGAAATGGTAAACGTCTTTCGTTCCCGCGTATATCCAAATGATGCATTGCTGACGGTTCCCTTCTTATCTTATACATCATGCGAAAGTAAAAGTAGGCTAGTAAAGAAATTCAAATAAATGTAAGAATAACGTTGGCAATTGCATTATGAAACGTGATTTTAACTAGACACGCATCGAAGCGAAAAGAAAAGAAATGGCCTGCTAAGTACCGATCGACTTTTAACGCGACCGTTAAGTTAAATTTATTTTTTATTATGAGAACGAATCGAACCGATTGTACGAAACAATTTAAGCAATTGGCATCATTTTAATTGTTTTAATTATGATTGTCGAGTTAATTGCAATTGACGAGTCATGCCTGGGGGGGGGGTGCCTTCGTCGTCGTCGTCTTCTTCTTCTTCTTCTTCTTCTTCTTCTTCTTCTTCTTCTTCTTCTTCTTCTTCTTCTTCTTCTTCTTCTTCTTCTTCTTCTTCTTCTTCTTCTTCTTCTTCTTCTTCTTCTTCTTCTTCTTCTTCTTCTTCTTCTTCTTCTTCTTCTTCTTCTTCTTCTTCTTCTTCTTCTTCTTCTTCTTCTTCTTCTTCTTCTTCTTCTTCTTCTTCTTCTTCTTCTTCTTCTTCTTCTTCTTCTTCTTCTTCTTCTTCTTCTTCTTCTTCTTCTTCTTCTTCTTCTTCTTCTTCTTCTTCTTCTTCTTCTTCTTCTTCTTCTTCTTCTTCTTCTTCTTCTTCTTCTTCTTCTTCTTCTTCTTCTTCTTCTTCTTCTTCTTCTTCTTCTTCTTCTTCTTCTTCTTCTTCTTCTTCTTCTTCTTCTTCTTCTTCTTCTTCTTCTTCTTCTTCTTCTTCTTCTTCTTCTTCTTCTTCTTCTTCTTCTTCTTCTTCTTCTTCTTCTTCTTCTTCTTCTTCTTCTTCTTCTTCTTCTTCTTCTTCTTCTTCTTCTTCTTCTTCTTCTTCTTCTTCTTCTTCTTCTTCTTCTTCTTCTTCTTCTTCTTCTTCTTCTTCTTCTTCTTCTTCTTCTTCTTCTTCTTCTTCTTCTTCTTCTTCTTCTTCTTCTTCTTCTTCTTCTTCTTCTTCTTCTTCTTCTTCTTCTTCTTCTTCTTCTTCTTCTTCTTCTTCTTCTTCTTCTTCTTCTTCTTCTTCTTCTTCATCTTCTTCTTCTTCTTCTTCTTCTTCTTCTTCTTCTTCTTATTCTTATTCTTATTCTTATTCTTCCTCTTATCTATTAATGGGATGCATAATTGTATGAGATTTCGTCAAAAGATATTTCATCCACTATGACATGCGACTGAAAATTCATTTTACCAAATAGAAATTATTCGTCGCACTTTACATATTACGGCAAACAAATCAAATTTCTTCTTTAATTTTGCTGCTGTAAAATCTCTTGCCGTTTTATCCATAATCTAAAATAAAGGATATCAGCATTTATTTCCATTTATACGCTTAACATGGGAAGTAAATGTGAAAGAAACTCTTACACAATTACAGACATGAAAATTTAACGGCAATAATGCTAATAAAAGTCAATAATTTATAAATTCCTTTACTTTCACTTTATATGCTTGCTTATCCCTTGCTATAAAATTGTTTTAATTTTCTCTTTATACTGATAAAATTTTGTTGCGCGAGAGCAGCTTACGAGTCGCCTGCTACATTTTTCATAATTTATTCATTCGGTACTCGCGTACTCATGTAATAGTAGCTTTCATAATCTACATCACATATAACTTTACCAATGCAATAATAACGATAAATATTTAAAAGTCATTATTAAAGCATAAAAATAAAAAAATGATGGCAATAATAAAAATTATTGTATTACAAAATTAATGCGCGATAAACGAGTGGGAAATAAATTTATAAGTAGCATTAATTCTTGGGTTAAAGCACAACCTTTTTTTTTTTTAATGAAATCGATTAAAAAATTCTGCGAAAGTATGCGAAAGTAGAGAGAACGAGTTCTTGAATAGTGCGAAATTTGCGTTTGCGAAATCGAGTCCTCTTTCGCCAAAATTCGCCAATCCATAAGTTCGACTGATTGGAATACTAACGAAATGCCATTTAATGGTCAGCGCGTTCGTGAGAAGTTGGCACGAGCGAAGATGTCCTATTATCAATTGATAAGTTTAATACGCGTTGTCCAAGATTATTATCAAAGGCCAGTTATATCTAGCCATTTTGAAAATAAAAACTTGCGAAACCGGTTGGTTTTACAAATTTTACGCGCCCGCTAATTCTTATCGAGGAATATTTGCGGGATAGCGCTCGATGGATCATGAAAAGTTGCCACGAGTCCACTTTCATGCCCCCGTCCGCTCACCTCCTCGCGGAGAAAGGCTTTACACGTCGCTTTACAATAAATCTCGAGTCAAGTACTTGGAGAGGAGATAGTAGCATGAAGCGGCCAATTATCGAAATTGAAATATCCCTCCTGAAACGAGAGGACCGCCCTGCATGCCCGTAATGAACATACACGCGTCCGGGGCAGCACTCGCGCACATCGGTAAAGTTCCCATGTACGACTGCGATGAATGGTAGCCACGGTGAAGGCCCGACGAGCTGGTGGCGATTGCACACTATTCCAAAATGAAACTTACCCAGCTTGGCTCGGAGCTCGGCAGCGAGTGACTCGTAGATCGTCGTCGCCTGGACGGGCGCGTGCCTCAGCTCGCCGCTCCCCTCGGAGGACTCGCTCTCGCGGGTGCTCCTTCCGTCGCTGCCCAGGTTGCTGCGCAGCCTCGTGTCCAGGGAGCCGAGTCGTGCGAGACTGTCCGTGTGGGAGGCGAGGACCTTGAGCTGTCCGCCCAGCAGCTCCGCCGTCTCCACGGAGTCGCATCTGCGCAAGCACAAACGACCTTGTCCTTGAAGCTCGTCATCGTGGGGAGGGGGTGGGGGTTCGACGTCCGGGAGGCTTTCGGCCTTTCACGAGCTGCGCGCCGGATGACTATTACCCGACGGATTATTATTAACGCCGCGAGTGAATCGCAGCCGTAACGATTCCCCGGCTCGGGCGCGTCAATCGCCTTGGAATCTCGACGGAAATGCCGATGACCGAAGATTAAGCCGAACGAACGAGCGGGCCTGCCGACCCCGAGCTTACTTTATTTCGGCCCATCACAAGCCCATCACGGCATTCATATGTGAAAACGCGCAGAAAGTTTAGTGCCGGCACCTCGTAAACGCGCGACCTCGACCTCGACCTCTTGTTTATTCGATATCTCCCGTCATCCCCACCCCAACCACCCTACCGCGCGCCACGCCCCTCACCCACTCCTGGACCTGACGCACGGCTCATGTATGACAAACAGGCAGGGCTGATACAAGTGATCGGATATTGAGCCGAGAACAAGGAAATTCTGATGAACCGAGTGCTATCGGACATCCGCTACTTACTTACTTACTTACTTACTTACTTACTTACTTACTTACTTATGCTTTTGTATGCCGAGATTATAAATCGCCTCGATACTTTTGTTATTGTATCTCTCTTATTGTTCAACAAACGTGATTTTAGATATTTACGTGAGCTAAAAAAAAGTAGGAGGATAATTTTTATCCACGCATTTATCACCAAATACGAAAATGTACCGCGAAATTTTCATTAGAAAGACTGCGCATTGGCCATAATATAACAAGCAAGTACTAAAAATTTATTGTTTCTATTTTAATATTTATTCGCCATCTCAACAGACAATTAATTTCAAATTGAAGCTCATAAAAATTGAAACTTCCGTTCCTTTCCGACTATTTTTGTGACAATTGAAATACCGAAAGCGTTAATTGGTACTAACGCTTTGCATTATACAATAACAATGCTAGAAATTTGTTCAAACATTCTTCATAAAGTTAAAAATTCATAATTTCCGTAGTTTTATTATTTTGTCATTGACTAATAATTTAATTCTTATGAAATTTATCCGTTCTATGCAACCTGCCTGCTACATCAATCATGTTTTTGTATGAGAAAATTGAAAAATTACGCACCACAGGAATGATAATTAAAATGTTTATCTATCTTGATAAGGCAGGTAGAAGACGTTAAAGGGGGGGGGGGGGGGAGAGAGAGAGAGAGAAATCTTTCTACCCGTTACGATAATTCAAAGCCCAACAAAAGCACGTTAAATATATTTAATTGGCTACGTTTTTTGTAACAATTTCCGATAAACGAATAAAGTCAATTTAGATACAAAAAGAAAAAGAAAATAAAATAAAAAAGAATAAGATAATAAAAAAAAGAAGCAAACATTTATTATTCTTTAAATAAACTATTGGGCAGGGCTACGTTATTATGCAATATCAACCAACCGAAAAAAGTGAAATCTTCGACACGGGCCTCTCCACGTATTATTTCCCCTCCCAAATCCATAATTGGCGATACTTAAACTTTTTATAATCACGGATCCCACCTTAATTTCCACATCCTTTCCAAAACAATTACGAATAGGAATTTCCGAAAGCGAGGAGGCACGACGCCGAACCCCAGCTTGTCACCACCGAAGTCCAAAGATTTTTATCGATGCCAGGGGACAAGAAACGCGGAGTCCCGGTCGCACCATTATCAAGTTGTCTCGAGTGACGGACTGTTGTAGGTGTGTTACCGGACTGGCCATTAGCGCTTGCGAATGAATTATTACGTGATTCGTTGCCGCCCGCGTTGCCTTACCGGCCACAAAAACAAAAAACAAACAAAAAAAAACAACAACAAAAATGGAAAAATACACGACGGCTCGTTGATTTGAGTTGGACGAGATGGAGGAAGGAGGGACAGGGATAGGGGATCGAGGAAGGTGGGCGGGGGTAGGACGATCGCGGCGCTTTCAGAGCGTTCACCGTTATTATTATGTGCGTTAGATGGGCGATGTTTTTTATGTTTTTGTTTGCGGCTTTTACGTATAATTAACGCGCTATCGACGAAGAGCGATCGTTGACTGAAGAAAGTCTCCCGATAATTTTAATGGAGGCAATTTTATTGCCGGCTAGACGCGTAAATTGCACACGCCGTTTACGATTTGCGTTTCTATTTGGCGATTGATATACAGCTTTTTGTAAAATTCAAGGTTGCCTTCGTGAAAATTATTTTCCTATTGTTTTCAAAGGAATCGCTAATTTGCGGCTGTCGGAATACGAGTACGTGTCATGGAATTTCCTTCCACTAGAACTTTTTTTCAAAAAGTAATAGATCATTTTATCATTATCATTATCATTATCATTATTGTTATTATTATTATTATTATTATTATTATTATTATTATTATTATTATTTCATTATCACTTTTTTTCAAAAAGTAATAGATCATTTTATCATTATCATTATCATTATCATTATTGTTATTATTATTATTATTATTATTATTATTATTATTATTATTATTATTATTATTATTATTATTATTAATGTTTTACATTTAATTTCAGCGACACGCGCGTGATTAGATATTTTACATGTGCAATAGGATAACGTTCTCTTTAATTCATCAGGAATAATAAATTGTCTGTCAAAGCAATAGCCCAGATGCCCGTAACGTACTATAATATTTTTATAACACGCGGGGATAATGAAATGAATCGATCGACGTAAAAGGGCATTGTGATCCTTCGCAAGAGCCAAGCATTTTATACATTTCTACAAAGTCGCGATAATTAATGCGATAATGATGCGGGGCTCGAATCGATGGATTTCACAGTTTCGAAAGTCGCGGCCTGACACTGGAAACCGCTCGGTCACGCGCCTGACACCGCGAATCGTCCTCCATGTCGCCGGTCTAATTTATAAATTACCCATACACCTAACGCTGGATAGCTCACCTGTAGGCGTGTACGTGGACAGGGTTGTTCGTGGCAGGGTTGGGCAGAAGGAGGGTCGCAGCGACTACGTCCTCTCTTTGGACGGCAGCGAGTACCGCGTGACCTGGCACCAGATGCTTTACCGCTGACCTCGTCGAGCCGCCCGGATGGACCGTCTGGATGATCTTCAAGCCCTTGCTGCTCACCTGCGAACGGAACAAAGTTTCTTCTTCAATGCACGAATGGTCTACGGATAAGGGCGAATTGTCTCGTGCACCTGTCCCTATCATTAGAGATTTACGAACAATCGGTTAGTGCGAGAAATCGAAGCTACACGTAACTGCCTCGCAAGTGTGTTTGTATTTGCGGAACAGCGTCGCGCAGCTTTCGTGAGCCTTATGCAACGAAACCGGCATAACCGACATGTAAATATCGTTAATCGAGCTCGATTCTTCGATTCCTACTTTGCCTAATGATCTGTCGTTGTTCGCTCGCTAATGGATGTTTGAAGAGGAGAAATCTTGGTGCGCCGTATGAAGGGAGAGTGATAGATATTAATATCAAACGCCTGGACTTTCGTTTGGTGACGAGCGAATTATGCCTTCGAACACGCTCGTGAATTACGCGAACGAGAAAATGAAGCAGACACCTGGCTTTCTTGCTAGTTATGAGCATAAAGAGAGACAAAGTATGGTCATTGGGGTTTTTTAAACTTTCACGCTTAACTTCCGGTGAAGAGGAGACCCGCTTACGCGGACATTTTGAAAGTGCCCCGCTGGCTCTTCTCGCTACGGGCACTTCGACGAATAGTTTCGAAGAAAGTCTCTTTATTCTTTTACGTAACGCCGCCGCCCCAACGTATTTATGGCCACGAACTTAATTACCGATGAATTTTCTTTAAAGCTACGGTGATAAAAACTCAAATAAATAAAAAAAAAAACGAAAAATACGAGAATGTATGAATAATGTAATAATGTTTTATGAAATTTTGAACGATGCAGGCACATTATAGCTCTATGTATCGTAGCTTTTGTGTTTTTGTTTGTTTTTTGTTTGTTTCTTTTTATTTTTTTTTTCAGATAAGAATTACAAAACGTCGGTTAAATTAATATTTTCGTGATCCGAATTAATAATTTCGGTCCGAGTGCCTGTGTAAAGTAATATCTGCACAGTTGAAAGATGATTTGATTTTTCCAATTTGAAAAATTTCTCAGTCTTGATTATATTACAATACTTGGCTATGTAATATCACGTGCTTGATAATTCTTTTTCGACATCCTAAAATCTTTTACAATGCTATAAAGAAAATTACAGTACTTTATTTATTATGAATTGAATTTATTCATTTTATCTACATACTTATGAATTACTTTGAAATTTTGTTTACTTTTTGGCTCTGTTCAATTCTATATATTATTCGACCCTTTGAGATTCAATTTTAGACTATATATTATTTTATTATTTTATCTAATCGTAATATTAATTTTTTATTGAAATCATATTAAGAAATTCACTTGACTTACACCATCAAAACTTTGACTTTGAAGTTTTGTAAAATTTATATATATATATTTTTTTTTATTTATTTATAATCTGCACTGAATTTGTAATAAAGCTTATACATGAAGTACAATGTCATATATACGCTAATTAGGAAGAAATTTGACGTTTGTCATACTTTGAGTCATTGCTTATTTCGTTACATACGGTAACTAGAATAATAATATTTAAAACGTTCCCATTATTCGTGATAAAAAAAAATTTTTTTTTCCAATACTTTATATTATATATAGCCTCTTTATTATCGATGTAATAATTCAAAAATAAAATTGATCACGCCTGAAATATGTCACCAAGTCTCGATAAATTACGGAACACACTTATCATACGGACATGTAAGGTTTGATAATTTATCACCAATTAACTTAAGCACGAAGAAATATAGCTTAATAAGCAAGAGAAATGGTATAATGCTGCAACGTAAGTTCGTTATCGATTAGGTTTTTCTAGCTTTATCAATGAGCACCATAATCGCATACTAGCGATTACAGTAATTATTTTTTTCGACGTATTTCGTATAAATAAATTATTATTATAATATTATTTATAATAAAGCTATTTAATTCAGAAGATATTAAAACAATACTCTTAACTAAGATTACGCACATTGAGCACGCAATGAGAATTGGTTCTGGATTTTATTGAATAGCATGTTTTTTAATCACGTACGTTAAAATGTTAAATTTCATCTTCGGCAATAATAAAAGTAATGAGAAAAATTATTCACAGTAATTGAAATGACATTATTGTAAAACGAGTAGATATAATTTAGAATATTTTATAATTAAAATAATATACATAGATGAACATTATGCCATAAATTTAGTAACATAACCTATTAGACAAAAAGAATATTTTAAAAATGTACGTTAGAATTTTTCACTGATATTCACATTTTCATGTAATTATTGATTGTTTGATTTGTAGTAGTTCCTTATTCACACTGGAGTTATGCAAAAACAATTATTTTTTAATAAGACTTGCCGACAAAACACTATTCTCAAACAATTGAAATAAAATTACATAATTATTTGTACTGCGAAGTACATAATTTATTCTTTATATAAAATATGTTGATATTACAGTTTTAATATTTATTTATTTTTTGTTGTACTAGATGGGTTTGAAAATTAAAAGTAGAAATTATTATGTAACAAATCGTATATAAGAAACCGATTATATATAAGTTTCAAAAGTCTAACGTTAACATTTAATGTGCATAAAGTACACAGAGATGATGATGTCTTATGGAAATATTCACTGGCTTCAATTGCATTGACATCGTATGCGACAATATTATAATAAGTTTCGTTATATATTTTCAAGCAGTGAGAATAATATTATTGCATTTAGATTAGATAAATTAGCGACTACGATTGTTATAAGGCATTAATATAGAGGTGTATTTAGGCTTCTTTTTTCTTTTTTTTTGTTGTTGTTTTGTTTAATATTTTACAAGAATAATGTTTAAAAAAAAATTGTATGCTTAAATAAGCAATAATAAGAAGAATATTATTCTATTCCGTTAGGCTTTTAATTATCGAATAGTATTTAGAGAATGGACCTTCAATTCAGAATGATAATACTATAAGCCAAAAGAAAACATTACTTTGGACATTTGTTTACGACCTGTTCAAACTTGAAATTGAATTTCATGAGGTCAGGTCGTTCGTGCCCCAGGTATTATCCAAAGCGAACGATCTACGATTTGGATGACTTTTATTGCATTGCGAGCACGTGACCAAACGTTTCTTAAACGAAGAAAGAAAAGTAGCGGTGATAAGAGGATAAAATAAACCCCGTAAGGAGGTCGACAGTTCGCATTTTATCAAATATTACGGCTAGAGTAGTATTTATTACTGTTCGTAGAAGAGTGTTTCAAATACTCACCACTAATTGCTAATGTTAAAATGTAAAATCATAAAAATATTATACAGTGAAAATGTTATTGCACCAAACCTTGCATTATTCTCCGCGAAATTTCGTGGAAAGAAACGTATTTGGAAGTGATTTTTCAGCATTTTGTATTGTTGCAGGCATTATAAATAGAGGCCAAAATACATATTAAAAGATAAATATTAAATAAAATAAAGAAAAAAAAAAGGAATAACAATAATAATAATTAAAAATATAATAAGTAAATTAATAGAAAAGAAAGAAAGCATGAAGTTATGGATTTGTAGGCTAAATTTCTGTGCGAGTTCTATTGGCAATATATTAGAAAGTAACGTATCAAAGAAAGCTTTCGTTTAAAAGTGCTCATCCTCTTTAGTAATGACAGAGAATGTTGTTTTTAGTGTGCTCATCAAATTTCTAGTAGTAAATCCAGTAGTAAAAAGCAATTGAATTCTAAGGAAGATATTATTTTAATGAAGTTTATAATCGTGTAGTAGATAAAACTGTTGAAAATACTTTCAAAAGACCTTAAATTAATGCTGCTTTAACCCGCATTCTAAACCTTTAACTATTAATTTGAATAAATACAAAATGCTCAGAAAATATGTAAATTTAAATATTAAAAAAAAAAATCTCTCGTCCGTAACAACAAATTCTATTCGACTTTTTGAAAGTAGCGAGAAATATTTTGCAGATTGCCTTAATTTGCGCAGATAATAATATATTATATGGAGAAAAGTCCGTAGGAATTAAAGTTATTTGCATTCTACGAGCCTTGCTGAATTCGCTTGCGAATTATTCAAAATTCTATAAACTCAATTATCTCCGTCTTTCAACACCGTTGTACGAGAGGATATATATCTTCGTGTTAAAGAGCCTAGGATAGAGGCAGTGCTATTGCGCAATTCAAGTAGCTTCATTGCGCTTACCGCACGTTTTCATACATCGAAGAAAAGCTAAGGAATACATGAAGAAAAGGGGATTTTAGCCGATTTCGCCACCACGATTCCACATTCATTTTTCAGCTATTGGTAAGGAGATGTAACTCTGCGCCTCGTTCAATTGTCGCAATTATCCCACCAATTTGATTCATCTACCCACAACTTTACCATTTCACCCTTATTTTATTATTTTATTTTAATCAATATTATAATACAATGTTATAACCTACAATTAATGAAGACTTTTGCATTTTGCTATCGTTCGTATGAGGGCATCTCGCGCAATATTATGCAGTAAAATATTTCTGCGCAGCATAGGGAGTACACATTTATTTGACAATACAATAAATTCATATTAATTTTACAATAAAATAATGTTGAATTTTCTAATAATATTCAATTGTCCGAGCATTAAAAGGGAAAGATTCGTTGCTTCGTTATCTCAACATAATTTATGTTTTTCCAATTTTTCACCACTCAACACTTGTGTCTAAATATACAATTTTTTCTTTTATGATTAAAAAATTTATCTAATAAATTACTCGTCTTCTATCGATACTCGTATATTTTTCTTTCGCTCCTTCAACTTTAGATTATTAACAATTTTTACAAATAATTGAACAATTAATTTGATCTAATATTGCAAATAATTTAACGTTTACTATACTTCGAGTATCGTTCGCTTACAATATAAAATAAATATACGACAAACTATTTTTTATATTAAATGCTAATATCAGGAATAAGAAGTTTCGGTTCACTCGAATATTGTCTTATAACAAGGAAGAGAAGAATTCACTTGAATTAAG